GTATTATTAGAGAGGCAATTTCTGTCAGAAAACGGCAAAAATTCTATGACTGGTGTATTAGTCGGGTTCTCCAGAGAAACAAAACAGCAAGGTATATATGTTCTATCTACCTATTTACCGAGAGCTAGCAGGTTCTTTAGAAATAGAAAAATAGGTAGATAGATAGATATAAAGAGATTTATTATAAGAAATTGGCCCACATCTTTATGGAGGCTGAGAAGTCCCATGATCTGTTGTCTACTCTGTGGAGACCCAGGAAAGCTGGTGGTGTGGTCATTAATTTTTTAAATGATTTTTTTTGTATTAGAAAATGTATTCATTTTTTGTTATCCAGGAAAACCCTGGCATCAACAGTTCCTGGACAAGGCACCTGTATCTATAATAAATGAAAACATCGTTCCTAGTGTTATTTATTGTGGATTTAGATGCCTATACCTCTACTAGATATCAAATTCTCCAGGATTCCTGGAAGACCTAGTCTGCTAGTCAGGCTAGGATCCACATTTGCTTTGAGGAGAACTGAGGGACTCTAGTCAACCATGATCTGAGGAACAGGGAAATCTCCCTCCAGGAGAGACTTACACCGGATTTTAGCTTGCCTCCTTTTTTTTTTTTTCATTTTATAAATTTTTTACATCATTTTTCATTTTTGCACAATGTATGCATTTTCATCTTGGTTATATTCCCCATACAATTCCTACCCCCCCTATTTTGACCCTAATCCCCTCTCCCCCGCCCTGATAGTGTGTCTCTGGTTTATAGCTGCTTGTTGATTTTGATTTTTACTTTATTATAATTCGCCTCCTTATTCTCTAGCTCTGCGCTCACACTGGGCGGAGTTCAGTCTGGGGGTCTGATGTTGGAGATGAACCTGCTAGCCGTAATAGCTACCATTTGCGAGCATTTAATTACACACTGGTGTTCTCACAGGATCACCACGGGTGACTACACTTAACCCCCATCACATAGGAATCGGTTGGGGGAGACTGAAATGACTGACCACGCTCGCATTGCCATTAGCAGCAGGGACTAACACTCAAAATCAGCTCCGACCCTCCTGCCTTTCCCTTGGCCACAGGGTAACCAAACATACAGAGCTTTCCCTGTTTCCTCTTCCACAGTTATCCACTACTCCCTCCCTTCACCCCTGGTTTGCAATTAGGGAGGAAAAATGCATTCACATCTGTAGGGTAAAGAAAATATCAGGCTTTTCTGCCCTTCCGCCATCAGGATAGATGATGGATCCTTGTCCTGAATGCATGCCTGATGGCGGGCACCTGGAGTAGGGTGTGGGCATAGGTAGATGGGATTCAGCTGAGCTAAGACTGTGCTTTTAAGGGCGGCGTCACGGGGACGCCAGCAGCAGCAGTGGAAGCCGTAGCCGAAAGAGAAGCCGAAGCAGAAGCCGAGAAGCAGCAGAACGAACTCCAGAGAGTCCAGATAGAGTGAAGACTTGCTGGGGGCTGGGAGGCCTGTCAGCCTCCCAGCCCCCCAGCCAGCATCCCTGCCTGCCATATGCCTGGTGAACCCCAATAAAAAACCTGCAAAACCACTGAGGAATCTGACTCCTCCTTTACCCGGTCTGCATGGGATCAGAAAACCTGCACTGTGTCCTGTCCTGCCTTTACAGCATCACACATTTATAACTAAAGGAAGTAGAGACAGGTTGGTAATTCAAACAACCTGGAGAGGATGTAAATTTTGAAGCCCAGACACCGCATTGTGGCTGGAGGGGGCTGGGGGCGGGCTTGGGCGTTTCGGGCGCCCCCTGCTGGGCCGTGTGAGGTTGCAGCGAAGGGCGGGCCGCGGCAGGCGGAGGGGCCGCGCTGGCTCGCGGTACAGCCCTGCTCGCTGTGGGCTTTGAGAGCTGAGGCATTTCCTGCTGAAATAAGAATTTCCCACTTAGCTAATTGAATGTCCTTGTTGCACACTGTCATGCACCTCGGCAGGGGACAACACCTCCTCTGAGGCGAAGGCGAATTTAAAGGAGAAAATGACGACAGAGTGTTTAATGGAGCGGACAGCGCTGCCATCCGCCAGCACTCCAGAGCCTGGGCCTAAATGAAAGCTCTCAGCCAAGGAGGGAAAGTGCCTGTGACTCAGCCCCTGTTCTCATTTTCCTCTTAAGGCACTTCCATTAAATGCTGAGATGTCCTGATTACTAAGGGGCGTCGGGGGAGGAAGGCTGAAGAAAGGCCTTTATACCACCTCAGCTATCTGCTGTTCTCTGAAGAACGCTGGTTCTGCTGCCCCCACTGAGGATCACAAATCCTGGACTTGACAATGGGTGTGGGTTCAAGGAGAGCCAGGCTTTTTGAACACCTGGTCTCAGCTGTAGCAGGACCCAATTTTTGAGGCAAGGGCATTTCCTTCTTGGTTGGCTGTGCCTCCTTGCTCTGGGGAGACTGCTCTTTGCCACAGGAAGACAGATAACTCCAGAGCTCCTGACTAGACAGATCTGTCACCTGGGGATGGCTGGCAGGAAAGGTGCCAGGCAGGATGACATCCAAGCACTCTACCTCTGAAGGCCTTGTCAGAGCCCGTGAGGTAAAACTTTATGTCATGAACCCTCAGATGTTGGAGACCAATTCTCTGTCTCCAGGGAAATTTTCAGCCAAAGAGCAGTGATGCAAAAGTAAAGCACTATCATTATCTGATACTGGCATAGAAACTAGGCCTTTGCAGGCCAGATGGGTCTACCATATCAGGAACTTCGTCCACAGGCCAGTCTTAAATTACCAACCCCCGGAACAATCCAAACACCCTTTCTGCTTTGTGCTGGACTTCATAAGAATCCTTCCAGCATCCTTCCTTTGGGAGCACCTCAAGGTCTACTTGGCCTCAGAAACTTGTTTGGAACCAGAATTAAAATGATGACATCAGGCTCAGCTTTGTGACTGACCACTCTGCCAACTAATACGGAAAGGTGACACCCAGGAACAGCTTCTTCCACCATGATTATGTGCATCATTTATTGTTTGAATTACTTGCCACGTGGATGCCAATTATCGATTCCTTCCTTTCAGAGCAAATCCTATTACCAGAAAAGGAAAAGAGCCAGTACCTGACTCTGAGTCACTTTACCATGCCCAGAATTCTTCCTCTGCTGAGTGAAAACTTACTGTACATTGTGGGGGTGGGAGGGGGAGGTGGTACTCAAAGGTCTCCTAATGGAATAGGGTGGAGGACAAGCACCTGCATGCTTTTCTTTCTTTGGGATGCAGTATCATTTACACAATGCAGAATTTCAAAGGGAAAACAAGATTTTTTTCAGAGGATGCAGGGAAAGTACATGGACTTTTCACGCTTTGTTTATTGTAAGTAAAGTAAAAAGGGGTGTCATTGAAAAGAAGAGATAGCCAGATGTCAAAGTTACTTTTCAAGTGGGATTCTAAACCACACAAGCAGGAAAGCACTGTAGTCTGGAAGAATCCAGCAGTACTGGGAAGGGATGGCAAGAAAGGGATGCTAAGACAGCTGTGCTGTCACACCCAGTGAGACGCAGAACACTGCTGAGGGACGTTGCTAGGTTGTGCCCTGTGGGTGTCACCAGTAGAGGTGGTCATGGAGCTGCCATTGTGTCCACCTGGATCAGACACTTTATTGTAATAGAGGATGCTGCTACAGAGGATGCTGGAAAGCCCAGATTCTGATTCTCCTTTTGTCTCCTTATACACAGTTCCCAAGAAGCCACTCCTTACATGGCAGCTGAGTGACTTTTCCATTTAGAACAGCAAGCTAATGGGGATAGTTAGATGCTGTTCTCTGGAGGAAGGTTCTGAGGGTGGCTGAGGTCCTCAGGTCCTTTAATTCCTCACTGTAAATATGAGCAACTTTTAGTCCCTTAAACTCAACTTAAATGTCTGGTAAAAGAAAGTTCTCTTCAGACCAAATAACCAGTTCTTTATAGATGCTTATTTTTGTTGCTGTTAAATACAATTTTGGTTTGCATTTAAACCTTTAGGTTTCCTAAAGGAGCATGACAACATAATCTTTGTAGCTCAGTATGGTAGAACAAATTATAATACCTCTGAATACTAAAGCCTATGTCTTGTCTTTGGTTTTAGCAATGAGTCAAATTCACATAGGGTTGTGCACTAATAGAAGCATGTTTTAGAATGAAAAATTGCTCTGTTCTAAAACAAAAGCAGAAAAATAGCAAATGGGAAAAAAGTGAGTATTTGAGTAAGTTTTAGATCGATTTGACTCTAAATAGAGGAAAGAACGAGTTTTTAATTTATTAAAGAATGAGTTTTAATTTATACAATATTGCTATTTTGTGAACTTCAGTCTGATTGCATGCACACACACACACACCACACACACACACGCAAATGTAACACTTCCCTCCCTTGTATACTGAATCTGATTCTTGGATTCTCTTAACCTCTCTGCATTTCGCTGTAGATGAAGCAACTGGAAGCTTCTGGCTGCTGAGGTGGAGAGTGCTGTCAGAAACACGAACTTTTAAGTACTCTGAGGTGGCAGGAACAGAAGTGCTTCAGAGAAGCAGAGGTGGGTGTCTGGGGTGTATGGGAGGGATCTCTTAAGATCTGCAAATTGATGGTCAATGGCAAGATAAGATTTTTTCCTGCTCCCATCCCACTTCTGAGCTGCTGGAAGACAAGTGGGGCTGAGTTCTGCCCTGGGTCCAGAGTGGACAAATAATTGTGTGTGTCTGACGTGTTGGGCAATTCCAAGGAGCAACCGTTTTTTTATAAGCTGGTTATGGTCTGTGTATCCTCTCATTTACTCTGGCTCAGGAACCCCAGATTAGACAGTGCATAGGAAACAAAGTGATCTTTTTAAACACAGCAAAATGCAATAGTGTTTTTAAAGGGCCATTATGATGACATAGAGCTCTATGGGAAAAATGTCCTAGACACTATGAATGGGAGAAATAAGGTGATGACAGTGTTGGTCTCCAACCAGCATTTAGGATGGAAATGGAGGAAGTAAAATGAGGCGAGTGCTTGGCTGGCACAAGGCCAGTCTCTTACCATAGTGAGGGATGATGGCCCAGGCCATGGCAGAGGCATAGATGCCACCAATCATCCAGAACATGCAGAGCCAGCTGAGATGTTCACCCCTCTTCTCTCGGGCTAGCACTTCCGCAAAGTAGGAAAACACGGTGGGAATGGCTCCTCCAATCCTGCCAAGAGGTACAAATGATACATGAAGTCATATATGTAGGCTGGGTGTGTCATATACATGGCTCATATGAGCTGTAAAGGGCAGAGCAAAGCATGTTCTAACAACACACACTCTCTCTCTATCCCAGCTTATAGAGAATATGTATTTACCATGATTTTAAAACTTAACACTACACTTTCTAAGCTTAATGTAGCTCTATCCTCCAAACACTTGAACCTGTAATTAAGCTATGTTATCTAAAGATAGCACCCTCCTTGTGGTTTATAGAACATACTTAGCTTGAGATTCCAATGGGCTTTCTGTTCAGAGTTGACTATTCTACATTTTTATCAAAAGCTACAATATCTGCTACAATCTAGTGAATATATTAATTAATGTGTTTTTAAAAAATGAGGTACATACTGGTATGTCCTGCCTATGATGTGGAAACTTTTGGCAACAACTTCAAATACCTCTAAGAGAAGGTCTACAACCTGTACTTTCTCACTGCTACCCTACAGCATCTGGCCCTGGAGCCCAATGAGGCTGATGTGTTGACAAACACAGGACCAAGAACGTTTCCCAGATTGGTTCTGTTCCCAATGCAGTGGATATCATTGCAATGAGTACATATAAAAGGGGCATTGGTAGAATAATATAGGAAGTTCATGGTTTAGATTCCAAGATAATGGGGTACACAATGCTTCCTCTCAGTTAGGTTAAATTTATAAGAGAGGATGACTGAGCTCTGGAGAGATGACATAAACAGTGACATCTACTCAGGTTAACAGATCTCAGATGAAAGTATAATCCCTTCCAGCTCTATTCATGTTGCCTCAAATGGCATGAGTTTATGTTTTTTTTTTTTTTATAAATCTATTTATTTGACATCTGTAGTAGAGTTTTTGTTTTTTTTTTAAGATTTATTTATTTATTTATACAAGCACTGGGTACAGTCAGAAGCGCGGGAGGGTGAGAGAATTCACCAGAGCCAGAGCGGGGAGCAGAGTGGGCAGAAGGACCAAAGTGCACTGCTGAGGGGAGCAGCGGGCGGCAGGAGAGGTCTGCGTGCCATGTGGGACCCTCCTCCGGTGGCCGGGGAGCAGCCGGGGATCGAACAAGCGCTGCAGAGGCTGCGGGCAGCTTCGCAACCCAGCGCTCAACCACTGCGCCACTGGGGAGGCCCATAGTTTATCTTTTTTGATCACTGAGTAGTATTTCTTTGTGTATATATTTCACATATTCTTGATTAATTTGTCTGTTTTGGTGCATTAAGATTGTTTCCATATCTTGGCTATTGTAAATAGTGCTGCATTAAATATAGGAATGTAAGTTTCTTTCCAAATTTGAGTTTTTGTGTTCTTTGGGTAGATTCCTAGCAGTGGAATTTCTGGTTCATATGGCAAATCCATTTTTAGTCTTTTGAGGAACTGCAACACTGCTTTCTATAGGAGCGGGACCAGTTTACATTCTCACCAACAGTAAAGAGGGTTCCTTTTCCTCCACACCCTTACCAGCACTTATTTCAGTTTTTTTGTTTTGTTTTGTTTTGTTTTCATTATGGGCCATTCTCACTGGTGTGGGGTGGTATCTTATTGTAGTTTTGATTTGCACTTCCCTGATGATAAGTGATAAATAATTTTCACATGCCTGTTAGCTACCTGCATGTTTTCTTTGGAGAAGTGCCTATTTAGCTCTGCTGTCCATTTATTGATTGGGTTGTTTGTTTTCTTTTTGTTGAGTTATACAAACTCTTTATTTATTTATTTATTTTTTTAATAGAGGCATGTTTTATTTATTTATTTATTTGTTTGTTTGTTTGTTTTGTTTATACATGCACTGGGTACAGTCAGAAGCACGGGAGGGTGAGAGAATTCACCAGAGCCAGAGCAGGGAGCAGAGCAGGCAGAAGGACCGAAGTACACTGCTGAGGGGAGCAGCGGGCGGCAGGAGAGGTGGGACCCTCCTCCGGTGGCCGGGGAGCAGCCGGGGATTGAACCGGCGCCGCAGAGGCCGTGGGCAGCTTCGCAACCCAGCGCTCTACCGCTGCGCCACCCGGGAGGCCCCAAACTCTTTTTTTTTTTTTTTAAAAAGAAATATTTTATTTATTTATGCATACAGGAGCTGGGGTATAGGCCAGAGGTGTGAGGGGGTGGATGAGAGGATTCACCAGAGACAGAGTGGGGAGAACAGGTAGATTTACTGAAATACACTGCTGGGGATCAAACTAGTGCTGTAGATAGATTCATAGTGCTGAGACTTAACCCGCTAGGCCACCAGGGAGGACTGAGTTGCAAGAGCTCTTTATAGATCTTCGCTATCAGTCTCTTATCAGGTGTAAGGTGTGCAAATATTTTCTCCCCTCTGTGAAGTGTCTCCTTGTTTTTGTTACTTTTTTGCTGTACAGAAGGTTCTCAGCTTGATGTAGTCCTAGTTGTTTATATTTGCCTTTGTTTTCTTTGCTGCTGGGGACAAATTCACAAAGATATTTTGGAAGTTTATGTCATGGGGTGTTTTCCCTAGGTTTACTTCTGTGTATTTTATAGTTTTAGGTTTTATACCTATGTCTTTTATACATTTTGATTTTCATGTGGGGTGTGAGGTAGTAGTCTAGTTTCATTCTTGGGCATGTGGCAGTTGAGTTTTTCCAGAACCATTTATTGAAGAGGCTTTCTTTGTTCCAGTGTATAGTCTTTGCTCCTTTGTCATAAATTAGTTGTCCATATACAAGTGGTTTTATTTCTGGGCTCTCAATTCTATTCCATTGGTCTGTGTATCCATTTTTGTGCCAGAACCATGCTTAAATAGCATTTTAAAAAATGAAAAAGAGATGAAAATACTTGAGAACAACTCAAGTAATAAGTATTATTTCATGAAATTGTTTTTATAAAGATATTCATAGTGAATAGTGAGCATGTGGAAATGCATAAATGTATGTATTTATCTTTATATAAATAGTTAAATGTAAATGTATAATGAGTCACAGTGTTTCTTAATGAGAGTTGCTTTTCAAACATCATAAATCACTAACAGAAAGCACCTCTATCCGTTCCCTAGGCTATGAACGTGTTGCTTCTACCTAAAATCTCTTTAAGTATGACCCCATGTGACTTCAGATGCAGCACGTGGTGATTTAACACCATCACACCAGGAGTAGCCAGCCAGGCCCAGGTCCATCAACCAGACCACCCCGAAAGAAACACACGCATGTGGCAGTCGGTCAGAGCTGGCTATTACAGCCACATTGCATGGACTCAGTTCTCTGCCTGGCTTCTTGAGCTAATTCCATGGAAAGCAAGTTGGATTTTAAAATTCAACAGTCTTAAACATATTTTAAATGGTTTTATTACAACACATAATTTTAGTGTGAAATAAAATGTCTGTGACATAAATCATTTAATTCTACTTCTTTTTTTTTCATTTGATGTGAAGAATCCGTTTTTCTGCACCATAAAATCCCAGGTCCCTAATCTGTGCCTTCACTTCTCAATGCACAAAAAGAATCCCAGTTTTTACTGACTTTTTAAATCCTAATTAATGTCTCATCAGGATTCCAGACAGTCTGTATGTAAGAGCTCTATCTCACATTTTGTGAAGGCACAATTGCATGTCAAGATATGTCAGGTCACTATGAACCAAGATAAATGTACTGCAGGGTACAAGTGGAAGTGGAATTGCAAGTGGAAGATGAGACTTGCCTATTAGTTTTAAACAAATCACTGTTGGCGAAGAGAAACCAACTTTAAGGGGGCTGGGCTAGATTCAATGCCATTTTTCAAAGGTGGCTATTTTTTGCATGGTTGTCTCTTACTATCTGTTTGTAAAGCAGATAGCAAGGAGCTCTCATATCATTGGGTAAATGAGGGATGGAGTCTATTTAAATCCTTTGCAAAATTCTTCAGACTCTGGAACCTATAAAATAATCCAAGCATTCATGTTTCTTTTTGTGGGCTGATAATCTATTTGTGGAAAATATTCTTCATCTTACTTGTGACATCCTTCAAGCATAGAAAAAATATTCCAGTGTGCTGCAATGAGATACTATTGCTAGTATTTCATACTCCATTAGAATGGTGCTTATACATTGTTCACACTAGACTGAAGGGTCCTTGAAGGTGAGGACCCTGTCCTATTCATCTTTGAATCTACATTACTAGCCCAGTGGACATGCACTAAATAGTTGCTCAAAAGAGTTGAATTTTACAAAGACTCTCCAGGGATGGAGCACCCCAAGGCTCCTGGAGTAATCTGTTAGGATCATACACACATCTCCAGTGAATGGAAACATATGTTTTGCTTCCTGGGTCATAAAGACATTAGAAGTTGGGAGTGGTGGAATGGATGATCTGATAGCAATGGAGCCATTGAGGAGTTCCTGAATTACTCTGTATCTTAGTTGCCATGGTCATCTTCTGACCAGATGTGCAGATGGAAAGTGTTCACTTGATATGAAATGATTCACATGAAATGATTCACAGCATATGAAATATGAATCCTTGGGCAGTCCCTTGGGACATTTTAGGTGCTTCTAAAATACCTCTTTGACTTTTAGAAATACGTTGCAGATGGGACACATGTATAAACACAATAAAAATATTCAGATCGTGCTTCTCTGTCTTATAATGTATCAATAATTTGGTTTCTATAAGTGCTGAAGATTAGAAAAACCTGCCAATCCCAAATCTTATAAGTGAAAAAAAAAGAAAGTTTCCCATTACTATTCTAGCTCAATATTTTGTGTAAGAAGTTAATACATTTCCTTATTTGTTTTGTTATTTATACAAGCACTGGGTACAGTCAGAAGCGCGGGAGGGTGAGAGAATTCACCAGAGCCAGACCAGGTAGCAGAACAGGCAGAAGGACCGAAGTACACTGCTGAGGAGAGCAGCGGGAGTCAGGAGAGGTCTGCACACCATGTGGGACCCTCGCCTGGTGGCCAGGGATCGAACCCGCACTGCAGAAGCTGCTGGCAGCTTCGCAACCCAGCGCTCAACTGCTGTGCCACCGGGGAGGCCCCAT